TCTCTCTTTGTCCCATTGGGTCTAATTGGATCTAGATGTCCAGGTCTGGGCGCCTCAGCATGGCACCGCATTTGCCTTTGACAGTCATTCTAACCCTTATGTGAGCCTGCTTTGGCCTTTTGCCATGTCATCCGATATCTACTTTGAGGGCCTCATCGCTCTATGTCGAGCTACATACCTCGCCACTTCGGGCCAGTCCGCTCGTGGCGACCGGCACTTTGTATGGCACCGGGGAAATGTCATGACTAAACTGCGCTCTCGACTTCAGGATCCTCAACAGTGTTCAGACGATACTACCATCCTCGTCGTGGCGACCTTAGGAACGATTGATTATATTCTGGGCGACCACACCGGTGCCTACGCTCATGTCTCGGGTATGAGGCAGATGATCAGGCTAAGGGGTGGGATCAATGGTGCTACACCTTGGGAACGATTGCTCAAGGCCAATATCGACGCCTATGAGGCGCTATGGTCGTTTCTGTTTGCGGCAGATTCGACGCCTGACAAGTCAACTCGGTACTCTGGAGAACTGGTCCAAAATGCCGAATTCCCCGTCTACATGGCCCATCCCTTCAAACCTGAAGTCTGTGAGATGTTGTCCAAGTTGCCCCAAGGCTTCTGTGACATTGGTCTGACGGGGGTGCTTTCGCTACAAATGATTCGACTGCTGTCCCATTTTGCCACGGTGAAGGCGAAATTGTCGGATACCATTCGCGTCCAAGAATTCGGTGTCACCTCGAGAAGGAAGATCCAGACGACCCTCGAAGATCTTCATCGACTTGCTACTCTGCAAACCACCACTACAGAGAGATTTCTATCTCATGGTCTGGTGGCATACTGCTACCTGTTGCGAGTGATTCACTTTCAAGATCATCTTACTGGCTTTTACGAGACAGCTCTGAAAGCTCTAGCGGACATTGCTCTGCACCAAACGCCCAGCCACAAAGCGCCGGAACGCAAGTGTTATCTCTGGACGAATATGATGATTGCGACTGTGATACAGCATGGACAGATTCGTCCCCGTGGCTGGACAACTGTCATGGGACAGTTCTTGGACAACTACGGCGAAGCTCGACAATGGAAAAGGTTGGAGAAGGAATTAAAAATGTTCTTTTTCGAGGATGCTATCAGCCTCCTGGCAAAGGAGGCTTATGACGAGGCAGTAAGGAGGAAGGAAAGGGGAGAATCCGAAGAGAAGGATTCTCGTATCGCAACCATGGCTATTCGGAATGTCATTCTATAGACGAGAACGACCTCTGCGTCGAACAGAGACACGCCGACACGCCCAGCCTCACAGGTTTATGAACTGGCCACCAAATGGGAAGCAGTCCTCCTCCCGATTCGAGCTCCGCGTCATCTCGTTTGGACGAACTGTCTGCAACGAGATTCAACGACCCTCGAAAGCCAATCAGTTTTTCCTCGGATCCTCGAGGTACGAACAAGACCGAAAGTGGTTTTGACAGAACGCGCGATTGACCCATGTCCAAAGAATGCCGTTTTGCTATATGGCGGTCGCCTTGGAGGCCTCAGCTCATTGATAATTCCTTCCATTATCAGTACCCTGACCATACCGTTGACATGTCATTGATGCACAACATGGTCCATCCTCGGGGACCGACTCTCACACGCTCGGTGGTGTTTGCCTACTCCGGCTCTGGTCGAAGGCACACCTCGAGTCGCTACCGTTTCTGCAGGATTCCTCCTGCACCATTGCAGCAAATCACGAATTCCTGGTTTGGTCTCTAAACCTCTAGCTTGTGAGGTCAGGCAGGCAACGTGAAGATGTCGCAGTGGCACCCGAAGTCCGGACTTTTGGCACCTCTCGGGAATCGCCGCCCCATCTCAAGTTCCACCCGGCTCTAGTCCAACGAGTCATACTCGTAGTTCGGGATGTTCCCACGGCTGTGGGCAGAGGGAATCCTATTCTGGCAAGATGACTTCTGTTAGAGAGCGAGGGGGGCACGGGGGGACACGGCCAGGCTGTCAGCAGCTGGCAGGCACTCTGTGCACCCCGATTCGCCTTTATCTCGAAGCCAATTGTTGTCCTTAATTGCTAACGAGGAAATGTGGCGCCAACCGGTCTGGAACATGAGACGCGGGCCAGACGAAGACACATCCACACCACTGTTGCCCGTCAGCGTTCTGCAGCGCCGGTACTGCATCTACGTTCCTGTTTGCTCGTATTGGCAAGACGTGCCGACATTGATTTCCCCGGATGTGCCCCCTATTTTTTCGAGATGCTGATGCATGTCACTGCTCTGGCTTTTGTGAGAGAAGCTCAGCGGCAAATCTCCGCCAACCCACCCGAGAAACGGATGGGGTTGTTATTGGATGACTGTAAGAGTAAGCAGTGGCGGGGAGAAGAACAAGAACCAGAAGATTACTTATTATGTTGCTGTTAGGGGAAACCAACGAGCCAATTGTCAGGCTCTTTTTGAACCAGACATTGGGATCTGTCTATTCAATGTATGAGTACGAAGGACGAGGTGCTCGGTATACTCGGTACTCATACGGTATATACCTCGTATGTGTACAACAGATATATGATTTCCTATCCCGTATCCCTGCATTTCAGGCCTCCTCAGTTGAAAGGGGCAGGAGCCCAAGTGGGGTATGACGAACTGTACTACCTGTAACGAGTCCCTGCGGTGTATGAAGTACTCGGTGCTCGTGTCAGTTGACACGGATGAACGAGTAAGACAAATATTATTCACGGCGCCTGTCAGGCTTTTTCTACGGGGACCGAGTACTCTACTGTACATACGCGTATGTACCATGGACCTATGTACAGTACTCGACATGGATTGGACGTGGACGTGGACTGGACATGGGACTGGACTCGTCCTCACGTGACTATTTTAACGAGCACGCGTTACGAGGGACTCACGGACTCTACAAGGAGGGACTCGGTAGATATGCATATGTGTACTCTGTACCATGTCTCGAGAACCATGGCTCGAACAATAAATGTTTTTGTCTACCAAAGCCCATGTGTCTCGGTGTGTATTTCTGTACTGTACGAGGTATATAAAGGTACTAAAAGTACTAAAGGAGTGCATATACATACACATTCATACATGTGGGAGGATGCCGAGTCGAGTCAAGTAAAGTCAAGTAGAAGTCGACCCCGATTGAGACTTTTTTTTTCTGTTTAGGCTTGTAAGCTCTCTCTTTCTAGGTAATTCTATTCCTTCCCACCCAGCCAGCGATAGACCACGGAGAAATCCTTGCCCTTGTACTCCTTCTCGGTCTGGTCGTAGACCTCCTTGGCCTTGTCGGCCAGGGCGAGTTTGGCGCCGGCCTCGCTCGCGGCGGCCATGGCGAGCCTCAGGTCCTTGTTCATCAGGCTGACGCCGAAGCCGCCCTCGTAGTCCCTGCTGGAGGGGCTGGTCTCGATGACGCCGGGGACGGGGTTGTTGATCTCGCTGGGCCAGCTCTTGCCCGTGGCCGAGTTGAGCAGGTTGGCGAGGGCCTTGGGCTCGATGCCCCACCGCACCCCGAGGTTCATGGCCTCGGCGCACGCGATGTTGTTGATCGCCAGCGCGTAGTTGTTGGCCAGCTTGCCGCTCAACCCCGTACCCTGCGGTCCCATGTGCCACACCTTCCGGCCCATGAGAAGCAAAATCTTCTCGATCTTGGGGATGTCCTTCTCTTCACACCCGACCATGAACGTCAGCGTGCCGGCGCGGGCACCGACCACGCCGCCCGACATGGGTGCGTCGACAAAGTCGGCCCCCGCCTTGTCCTTGACCAGCTTGGCGACTTCGCGCGACGTGATGGGGTCGATCGTGGAGCAGTCGATGAAGAGCCTGGATTGCTCTGTGGGGGGTTTGGGGAGCGAAGAGGCAAGGATGTCTCCAAACACACCCTTGACGTGTCGTGGTTCAGGGAGTGCCGAGATGATGTTGTCCTAGATACCCAAGGAACGGGCATAAACAGTCAGTCCATCGCGCTTCTTCTGAGGCCAGTTGACCTGGCTATATGTGTTTTTTTTTTCCTTCGCTTGTCAAATGTTTTCGTGACTGCTTTTTCTTTTTCTTTTTCAGAGGATTGGCTATAAACTAAAAGGGAAATCATGGCAAAGGACGGGGGGAGGTTTCCCCTTTGCGGGATCCCCCCGTCCCCAACTTAGATCATAGATAGAACAATAGTTGCTCATCATGTAAAGGAAAACTGGAGAAGCCCTCGCAATCAGGATGGACGAAGTGGTGCAGACTCACAGAATTCTCGACCAGCTCGCGAGGGTTCTTTGCCACGAATACTCCAGTCGGTGTAGCTTCCTGGGAGAACCTCTCCAACGCCGCAGTGTTGACGTCGAAGACGGTCATCGTGTCGCCTTCGGGGATCTTGGCTCGTAGGTTCTTCGCCATGGGGTATCCTGTATAAACACATTGAATCAGAATCCGTAATGCTCTCTCTCTCTCTCTCGGCGAGTAAAGGGATAACAAACCCATAGCACCCAGGCCAATGAAGCCCCATGAAGCTTCGCGGGCGACCGTGTTGGAAAAGTGTCTCTTGAGGCCATGATAGAGGGATGGCGACGGTGACGCCCGCCGCAGCAGGGCGAGGGACATAACAGACGGTGTCATCGCTGCTGAGCTCGTCTGGTACTCACAGAGAGCATTGGGAACACTAACTGCGACAGATGAACGCAGGGTTAAGTCAAAGCTTGAGTGCGGAGTGTTGGCCGAGGCTGCAACGAAAACGGCTTCACGGCTTGACGGATTTCGGGGAAAAGCTGGAGCTGCGCATCGGGGAGCTTGAGCTTCACCGCAGCTCGAAGAAGACCGAGTCTTGGACTGTGGCTCAGCCGAGATCCGGCTTCGGCTTCACTTAGCTCTCACTTCTCCTTGTTTACCTTGACTTTATTAGCTATCAAGCTACCCCTAAGAAAGTGACCGCAAAGGCCAGTGAAGAATATACGCATGTTACCAACCAATCCCCCACACACCACACGATAGAGAAATGTATAGCACCAGCAAAGCACAAACCCAACACCCTCAACGCCGTTTGGACTTGCCCTTCCCCTTCCCACTCCCGTCCGAGCCACCACTCGTGGATTTCGAAAGCATAGGAAAGTCTTCGTCCATGGCCATGCGGCTCTGTTCCTCGGCGAGACTCAACTGCAAGGCAAATGCCAAATCGTCCTCCTCCTGCGTAGCTGCCTTTGCTTTGCTGCTCCCGGCCTTCCCACTTCTCGAAGGTGCTCCATGTCTCGAGCCTTTCGCATACCGAATGGGAATGTCAAAGTCACTGGCGCTCATTGCTGGTGAAGACGACATCTGCTCGCTTTCCAGCAGACTCAGACGAATGGCTTCCTCCAGCTCGGCATCAGTTGCATTCTCTGCGCCACTGTGAGATGGAATGGGCGAGGCAATCGAAGTGTCGCCATAAGTCTCCTGCCTCTTCTTCTGATCGCTGGAAAACGCTTCCTCGCTCAACATCGTAGCATAGGCCAGTAGCTCCTCCTCACTTGCCCCTTCACCCAAGATATTGGTACCAAATCGTCCGCTCAGACGTTCAAGCTCTTTCTGCCTTACGACTTTATCCCGCTCCATTTCATGCCTCTCATTACTGATATAGTCCTTGATCAGTCCACGTCCGGTTGCGCTGACCTTCTGGCTAGCTGGCGTAGAGTTGCTGCCGCGCTCTGAGCGGCGACGGAGCTGGCCCCTTTTGCGCGTCTTGTACGCATCCGCGGCAGTCGAGCTATAAGACCAGTATCGGACATAAGAACCCAACGAAACCATGCCCCGCAACACTGTCGGGTCTGGGTCCAGGACAATCGCTCCAGCGGCATAGTAGTTGTTTCCAACGCCTTGCACAGAAGCTTCAGCTTGAGCGATGCGTCGTCTTGCTCGGTCCGAGAATCGAGAATTGAGTGTCCTGACTGGTTCATTTGTGGACGCCAGCGGATCCCATGCCTGAACCAGACCTTCATTACCCCCGTGAACAACGTACAGAGAGGTGAGAGCAAGCGAGGCAATCTGCGGAGACTTTGTGTATATGACCCTGACTGGCGAGATGGTGTTGACAACCTCGGGACTGGGAGAGAGGCCAGCACGCATGTCCCAAAGCATGACAATGCCAGACATTGTACCGATCCCGAACAGTCGCGCACGGTGACCCGGAATCTCCAAGCTCGAGCTCAACGTGCCGCTGTGGCCTAGAGGCGACGCAAGAGGGGAAGATGTATTGGAGCCACCAGACATTCCAAGGAGAGGATCCTCACTAACGTGCAGGGTGGCGAACTCCGACTCGTCAGAAGCCAATGCCGAGATGTGGATGTTTCGGTGTTCAGCAAATGAGAAGTTCGAAATGTGCCAAACTTCTCTAGATCTCGAGCTCACAATGTCATCTTGGCTAGAAGTACGCGACCTGGGAACACTTCTCGGCGCTGGAGAGGAGTACGGAGATTGTTGAGGTGGGCTTGTCGTCCCAAAGATGGAAGCCTGCTTGATGGTCGACTGGATCGTTGGCCAGCTGTCCAGCTCCGGATCGACTGTAATCTTGGTCATGCATCTGGTAAAACGGCGTACCGAAGCCCCGTTGTTCCCATACAACCCGCATTCCACGACGAAAACGGATTCCCCAGCATTGGCACCGTCGTCTCCAGCAAAATCAGTGGTCAGTCGTCGCTGCATGTCCCACCCGTTGCAGATGTTCTGAAAATGCTTTGGCTTGTGGCGTAGAAATTCCTCGACTTCTTTGGTTTCAGCGACGATCTGATCTTTGCTCAAGTTACATGCGTCGCTCGAGATGCGTGGACTGTAACTGCCATCAACCTTTGCCGTGCCAAACGGGTCTGGTTTTGCTGTTCGTCGCGTAGCCTCGACCAATGACCATTGCACACTTCTTCCCGTTCTCCAAGCCAGGCGATCAAGCTCTTCGGGCGAAGCCTTGCCGACAAACTCTGGCCTCGTAGGGACGTCTGTGAGGTAGAATACCTCTCCAAGCGCATTAAGCACAGTAGCCCAGATCCGACGTGAAGATAATCTCCGAGCGGAGACCCTCTCATCGACACAGATTGCAATGATCGGGACACCTGGACAGAGAACCCATTTGGCTGTAAGTTCTCCCTTGTCAAACCGGCGATCATGGACCGGGTTGACCCCGAGGGCATACGCTGCCAGCACTCCATTCGAGAACCCTGCAAGAAAGCCGAATATACCACTGGTGGCCTTGAGAACAGACTCGGACTTGGCAATCCAGACCGAGCACACAGCACAGCCGATCATCGTCGTTTCAGGGATACCGAGCGCATGGTTGGCCGCTGAGGAAATGGACACAAATCGGCCCCGCTGCTCGCTCGTCGAGGTGTAGAAGACTCGCCCTCCTGGACAAGCCTCTCCATATACCTTCCCATAAGGTTGACTGAGGTCCATGACATTGGTCATCCCAACCATGTTCCCGGGTCCCAACCCATAAGGCAATTCACCAGGGAACTGGTCAGCAAAGTGTTTGAAGGCATCGAAATCCGTCAGTCCCCATGAACCAGGTTTACCACTGGCCGGGTCGCTTACGGTGACGGCGCCTTGCTCCACTGCTCCATGCATGAACAACGGCTGCTTCTTGTTTAAGCCCACCCCGAATGTAGCGTGCAGATGACTGACTGGATAGTACAAGCCGGATGCATAGGTAGTAACGGCAGCCGCAGCTGCGCTACTGGCATGACGGGAAGCACCAGCACGAGATATTGCTTCAATCGCAGGCCGGCCGCGGCCGAGAGAGCGTAGCAATCGTGTCCGAAGGATATACTCGCTCCTCCACGAGGAAAGGGCGGACAACCGCGTGAACGACCTGCGCTGTGCTCTCTCGACATCCGAAACTGACTCCTGTGTCGCCTTGTTTGTGCCCGTGGCCAACAATTCAGCACCGGGAAAGTATCTGGCAAACGCAATGCGCCATGCGTGCGGTGTCGTGACCAATTTGTGAAACCGTTGGGACACGAGGCTCATGGAAGACAGAGTCTCTGGAGGCAGGTGCGAGAGAATGTGAGTGAGAACCTCTGCTGCCTGTTAGTATCCTTCTGCAAGTCTGCATTCGCGTCCTACCATTGGGGAAGTTTTCAACTGAGACCCTCGAGGTCTTATCTTTCGCGGACGGGACAACCTGAAAGATTATGCCGTCGGACGGTTTTCGATATTGAGTGTGTGCCCTTTCATATTCGTCGATACGACTACCAGGAGAGCCTTGAGACGAACTGTCTCGACTGCTTATCCATCTGGTGTTGGATGGCCGTCCACGCTGGGTGCCCACGGAGCGGACGGAGACATTGTCAGCCGATTCCTCCAAGTCTGGAGTCGGCTCTCTGGGGTTACTCGTGGAGAGTAAGCCGACAGAGGCCTCATGTTCAATGTCTGGAAGTCCATGCTGCGAAGAAGACGAGGGGAGATGCTGGGCGGGTTCTACTGAAGTCGCGTTTTGAGAGGCTTCAGAAGGCGCAGGGTGCATAAAAAGTTTTAGGAGAAAGCTGGAGTGATGATCGAGACTGAGCCAAGGGTTGGATCAGTCTGAAAGTCTTGCGCAGGTCGGTCTTGAAAGAGTCTTCTTGTCTATCGTAGAGAGATCAAACAGAAAGGAGGCGTTGTTATCACGGATTTCCGGTTCTTTCAAGAGATGATTCAATCTCGGGGGAGGAAATGGGACTAGCCGAAGCAGGCTAGACACGCTAGGTAAAGCCACCACCGCAATTCGCGGCATTCCGTAACCTTGCAGACCGCGCTACAATCCTCCCCCATCAATGTAGCCTCACTACTTTCTGTTGTTGGGCCATTCATTGGTCCGACTCTATTCCATGTCCACTCTTATGCACCTGCAACACGAGAACGAAGCGAGACTGTGACTGCGAAAGGCCTGCCGCTCGCATGCTAGAGGAGGAAGGGGACCAGGAGTGCGAGGGCTGAACTAAGGGGAGAATTGTCAGATCGCCACCCAGAAGCATCACCTATCTACTCGTGGACTATAGCACCTGGGGTTCATTTGAACGGTCAGGGGATGCCAGAATCTAGCACTGCTGCTTAGCTGTGGCAGCGTCAATTCACAGGCCTCAAAGACCCGATTCCATTATTTTATTGCTCCAGCAAACTCTTCAAACCAGACTGTAGATACACATAGTAAAACAGGACAATGCTTTTCTCAAACCCCGTCCTCGCCACCGTGGCTACCAGGTCCTCTTCCTGAACGAGCGAGCCTCAATACCTGCACTGATCCTTGAACGATTTGCCAATACGCGCCAGCACCACCAGAAGGTCAACTACCACCGATTAACATCCAGGGCAAACTCGATGTTTCGTTCTTGCCAATAGCTACGCCGAAGGCCTCACTCCATTCTCGAGCAACAACTTCTCATTCCGTGGAAATCGGTTGTTCATGAAATGTGAGTAACAGCGGAAGTAATCTTTCAAGACACTTTCGTCATCGTCTGAACTTCCGTCAATTCCAAGGCCTGCTTTTTTGGCTCCTTTGGAGAATGCCAGGGTGGGGTAGGATTCGACATCCTTCTCTTCTTGCAAGAGGATCTGCTCGAGGACTTTGGCTTTATGCGCGACGCTGTTGAAGTGCCACTGCTTACCGCGATAGCGCATAGAGAGGTTGAAGTCTCGGAGGGTGAGCGTTTGAGAAGCAAGCGTAGGGGATGGAGCTTCGTGTCTGGATGGGGGCCGGAGTTCCATGACAGGGGTAGGGTTGACTGGTGTAAAACCAGCGTGCGCGTTTGAGCTGGCCGGAAGCCGTGCTTTCGGAAAGGTATTATTGTCGTAGATAGACGTGTTCCGTGAGATTTCGTCTCTCGAGATGCTCACTCTGCCGGTCTCCTCCTGCGACCCTGTCGATTTTTGCCGCTTCTTTTCCGATTCAGGAAAGTGGTCACGGCTGGCACGGTGTCGCTTTCTGCTTTCGCTGCGCCCAACGGCGTCGTCTCTACCTGAATCGTGATGAAGACTTCCAGCATCGGATCCTGTCAAGTGTAGAGGTACAGCCGTCAGCCCGGCGTCATTCTCTTCGAGAAACAAGCTTACCATCAGAGGACCTGGTGTCATCGATTTGAGTGTGATTAACAGTCCCGGCATTATCGACGGTTTCCGGGCTCCCCTGTTTTGGAGAGTGCAGCAAGCAGCCAGGGCAGTTCACGGCACCATTGATGCGCTTGTGAAGACGGTCAATTGTGTACCACCGTTGCATCTTCATGATATCGGTCACGTAGCGGAGGATAGTGTGGCGATGGTCGCTGGCTTCCCATTGATAGTTCTGTATGTCGCTGTCAGCGCAGACACGTACCAAGGCCATCTGAAGAAAGCAGCCATATCAGAAGTGAGCTTACAAGAGCAGCGTCCCACGAGAAGTGTTTATTACCGCCTCCGGTCTCGAGGAAGCTCACGGCGACAGGTTCAATCAATTCATCCGGTGCATTGGGAAGATCTTCAATCTGAGATTTGAGGTAGGCCTGGGCATCTTTGCGGAATTTGGCTTCGGCAACGCCATCCATGCCCAGTTCACCGCACAGCACGCCGATAGACTTTGGACCTTTGGGCATTTTGATGTAATGATGGTGAGCAATGCTATCCTCTCATAGAGGCTAGGACTGGAGGAGAAAGAGAGAAGATTGAGCGTTGAGAATGATGTTGGATAAAGTCCGGAGGTACGACGTCGGTGGGCGCGTTGGGATGGGATGACGCTTTTGAAGCGGAAGGAGGTGTTGCGTGTTGCCTAGCTCGACCGCCGCATCCGCCGACGCTGACGCCGACGCCTCCCTCCCTCGGCCGACAGCAACCCCAGTAAGAGGGGCCGGCACAAAGACGGGAGTGAAAGAGCAGTTGTCACACCATCCAGCATCACCACTATATTTTTGTTTACCGTAATTGTGCTGTATGAAGCTGGTCCAACCGTAGGTGAAATGTCAATTGTGTCGCGCTCGGTTAAGTATTGATCGCCGTCGGTCGCCTAACTAAGCAGCGAAGATGTAGAAACTCCGTAGGGCCAAAAGCTGTCTCTGGGATCGACCGTGGCAGAACAGGAGGACAATCTTCAAGCAATCAAGCAGTTGTCTGCCATAATTGACAGGATGTATGGGACAGGATGTTGTGGTTCTGAAAGTGAGAGGCGCAGGCAATGAAGAAAAACATGTCTGTCTTCTGTCTTAATTTTGGGCTGCATTTGGCGACGCAACCTCCTCCTCATCATCATCGTGTCTCGCAGCCTTTGTCCATCGCACACTGGCCCCCTCTCATGTCATAGGTCAATGCTATTTCAATGTTCCTGCGTGTTGCAAATTACCAGCCATATGGGATAGCTGTCTCGAGCTCAAGTCAAAATTTGTGTCGTCCTCTCTTCTCGGGACGTTTGTTTGTGATTTGCTCGACTCTTTGACTCTGCCGAACAGGCAGCAAACACGCCATTTTCCACGAAGCCAATCGCCCCTTTGTGAGACACGCGAAACCACTACTCTTTCACAGCATTCTTCTCAGCAACAATATTCCAATGTACTTTCCTCCTCGTTGAACTAGCAGAAGCCATGGCAGACACAATTACCATCCTTGTCGCCACTGACAACCATGTTGGAGCCCACGAACGAGACCCGATCCGAGGTGACGACTCCTGGAAGACGTTCCATGAAATCATGTGTCTGGCCAAAGATCGGGATGTTGATATGGTCCTGCTCGCCGGTGACCTCTTCCACGAGAACAAACCCTCACGAAAGTCTATGTACAATGTCATGCGGTCCCTGAGACTGAACTGCTTGGGTGACAAACCTTGCGAGCTCGAAATGCTATCCGATGAGTCGGAACATTTCGACACCACGTTCGACCATGTCAACTACGAAGACGCCAATATCAATGTTGGAATCCCCGTTTTCTCCATACACGGGAATCATGACGACCCAACCGGGGAAGGCCACTACTCTGCTCTAGACCTGCTAGCTGTTTCTGGACTGATCAACTACTACGGGAAAACACCTCAGAGTGATAACATCGTGGTCAAGCCGGTTTTGATACAGAAAGGCCGCACGAAGCTAGCCCTGTACGGCCTCTCCAATGTCCGGGATGAGCGCCTGCATCGAACCTTCCGGGATGGCAAGGTCAAATTCCACCGACCGAGCAAGCAGATGGGCGATTGGTACAATTTGATATGCGTTCATCAAAATCACCATGCACATACAGAAACATCATATCTGCCCGAGAACTTTCTGCCAGACTTTCTGGATCTGGTGATCTGGGGCCACGAGCACGAGTGTGATATCGAACCCAGACTGAATCCAGAAATGAACTTCAAGGTTATGCAACCAGGGTCCTCTGTTGCTACCTCTTTGATCCCAGGCGAAGCCGTCCCTAAAAAGGTTGCAATCCTGACGATCACTGGGCGAGACATGACATGTGAACCAATTCGGCTGAAAACAGTCCGTCCGTTTGTCTACAAGGACATCACGCTCGCCGCAGACAAAGACGCTGTTCGGATTGCTAGATCCAAAGACGATCATCGTGCAGAGCTGACCCGCCACATGATCAAGATTGTGGACAGGCTAATTGAGCAAGCCAGGGAAGAATGGTCAGAGGCGCAAGAAGAAAGACAATACCCAGACGAGGAACAGGAAGAATGCCCGTTGCCCTTGATTAGACTGCGCGTTGAGACGACCTCGGCCGACGGCATCGGCAAGTTTGATATTGAGAATCCCCAACGCTTTTCCAACAGGTTCATTGATAAGGTCGCCAACACCAATGATGTGGTCCAGTTCCATGTCAAGAAAAAGAACGCAGCGGCACGCGCAGCTCGAGATGCACAGGCAGATAAGGAGATCATGGCCAAACTTCAAGGTCTGGAGACCATCCGAGTCGACAAACTCGTCCGAGAATTCCTCCAAGCCCAATCCCTCACTATCCTCCCTCAAAATTATTTTGGTGACGCTGTGAATCAATACGTGGAGAAGGATGACAAACACGCCATGGAAATGTTTGTGAACGAATCACTCGCGGATCAAATCAAGCACCTCGTCAGACTGCAAACCGACGCGAATGATGCCGACGACGACGACGAAGACCTGGCGACCCAGATCCAAGAGCAGCGTGCGAAGATGGAAGAGATGTTTGCGAAGGGCATGCTCAAGGTGTCCAAGAACAAAGCTAGGTTCAAACCTCAGCCGGCCGACTGGGATAGTGATAACGATGGCCCATGGGAGGATAACCCTGCTGCTTTGCTGCGCGATTCAGAGGATTTGGAAAGTAGAAACGGGGACGAAGACGAAGACGGTGAAGGGGCAACATCTGCACCAAGAACAACAGCAGCAGCCAGGGGACGAGGAAGAGGAAGAGGTGGTCGAGCTGGTTCAACGGCAACGACCACCGCTCGCAAGGCGACAACCACAGCGAAGAAAGCCGCCGCAACGACAACCGCTTCACGAGCGCGGAAGCGGGCAATCTCAGACGATGAAGACGATGTAGAAGAGGACGACGACATCATCATGGAGGACAATGACGAGGAAGACGACTCTCAAGCCATGTTTGTGCCTGAAAAGCGCAAGACCGCCGCAGGTACGCGAGGGCGCAGCGCAACATCAGCAGCGGCCAGCACCACGACAACCCGAGCCGGAGCCAGAACGAAACCGACCTCCTTCGCATCATCAACGCCGGCGACGAAAAAGCCACCTGCTCGTGCAGCGGCTTCGAAGCAGAAACAGTCGACCCTCAGCTTCACCATGTCGCAGAACAGTATATTGGGGAATGGACGGAGCACGGGTGGGAGCCGGAGTCAGAGCCACGAGCAGATCGATGATGATGATGATGACGATGACGACGATGCATTTGAGCCCGCTCCGCCAACCAGAAGAAGACGATGAATGCTCGTCGTATACGCCGCGTAACCGCCATCTTCTCACGGCAGCGTCCGATCACGCATGTACTCGGTAATCTCAGGACGTAGGTACATCTTGACTGCTATGCCTATGGGGAGAGTTGAGGAGAAAAGTTCAGAGCAGCATATCCCAGAGTATTGTTTGCAAACTACGTGTCGCCTCAACTCCCCAACAAAAAGTTACCATGGTGTGTCAAAGCGAGGTATCACAACGGAGCCTTCTGGTAGAATCGTCAACTTCGGAGAGCAGATGGCTATAATAACCATTGTTCATCGTTTTGGCTTGTGTCTGGTATTCACCTCGCTCTGTATCTCGTACACTAAAGAAGGGTCGACGTGCGTCTCTAGCGTCTTCAAGCTCGGCACAGCTCAGCGCCCGTCGTGTCATGCTCATTCTTTCTTCCCATCTTCCTTGCCCGCAGGTGTCGAGGAAGCGCTGGGAGCGCCCTCAACTACCGCTAAGCCCCCAGCAGCAGCACCAGTAGCACCAGCGGTTGTATTTGCATTTGTTTGTCCACCCCCCGCGCCACGTCTGCCACCTCCAAAGTTTCCTCTACCACCGCGCTGCCCTTGTTCCCGCCCTGACCCTGACCTGACCCGCTCCCACCACCACCACGGGCGCCCTCTTTCTTTCCCCCACTGTTCCCACGTCCACCCGTACGAGCACCGCTTCCGCCACCTCTAGAGTTGCCTCGTGGTGCAGTTGGTGGCGTCGCTGAGGTTGGCGTTGTTGGGGCAGGCTCAATCGTAGCTGCGCTGGTGGATGTCTCAGCAGCAAGCGTCTGTGCAGCGTTTGGTTTGGGTGAATTCACAGTCGCTGGGGCCGCAGCAGGGGATGCAGTCCTTGTTTTCCCCTGCCCAGAGGTTGCTTGATTTTGACTGCCACCACTTCCACCTCCACCCCCTCCTCCGCGTTTGCTTTGTTGGCTATGATGCGACTTGTTCTCCAACACAACGACTTGACCCTGCGCGACTTTGACTGGGCTGGCTGCCATCGCCTTTTTCAACGCCTCAGGGTCTTGAAAGTCGACATAACCTAATCCCTTTTTTTTGTCGATCTCACAGCGTGTGATTGCCCCGAATTCCTTGAAGACCTGTTGTAGGAGGTCCTCCGTGATGCCCTGAGACGGGTTTGCGTGCTTGAGGAACGCGGATTTCGCGCCTGTGGTGGGCTGCTGAGAAGACGAGGTTTTGGATTGACGTTGATTGGCTGTTGGTCGGCCCGACGACGCTGACGCTGCGCCAGATGGTTCTGATTTGGTAGACGTAGTGTTTGGAGTGCGTGAAGCGCGTGGGCCGGTTGGAGGAGCCGCAGGCGAAGCGGTTGTAGGTGTGACTGGCTTGGACTGCTCTGTCGAAGGTCCTGAAGACTTGGAAGTGGTAGAAGTAGACGGTTTTGCGGCTGAGGATGAAGTCATTTTGTCGTTTGCGGTAGCTGTATTTGATGGAGACTTTGGGGTGCGTTGCGAGGTGTTTTCTTTTGCTAGCAGTCCCAAATCCCGTTGCAGCATTCGAGCAGCAGCCCTTCCGCTGTCTCGCTCTCGATTTCGCTCTCGTTTCGCAGGTGTGGTAGCAGGTGCTGATGCCGCGCCTACGCCTGGAGTTGCTGGAGACTGTGGTCGAGGATCCTTTACTGATGTCTGTTTACTCTCGGATTTCGTGGATGCCGTCTGCTTTCCTTGTGAAGCAGGTGCCGATTTATTGGTCGACTTCACTCCATCGTGGGTGGCTTTGGCGACACGGTCCTTTTCCTTCTCTGTAGAGTTGGGGGTATTCTTGCCCTTGATAATAACAGTCGGAGTGCGCTCACTCTTAGTGGGCTTCGCCTCCTTACTTTCCCGCTTCGCTGCTTTGGCCTGGGCAGCTTCCTTGGCCTTGTTGGCCTTCTTCTCTTTGATATATTGGACCAGCGGAGTGACAGTGATCGTGTCCGCCTTGATGTCAGTAGCTTCGGCTCCATTTGGCGCTGGTTTATTGATGGGTTCAGTCAGACTTTGCAGGAAATCGATGAATTCTTGGTCCTGATCAATGGTGCCTTGTCTGCCATCATGTCGGACGCGAGGAACGGGCATCTTGTTGTAGGGTGCAAATTCGAGTGATGGTGGTCCCAGCAGACAAGGATCTCTGGTGGTGTTTTTGGCATCCTGGAATGATGATTCTCTGACCAATTTAGATAAAACGTCTAGCAGTGTTTGTTCCTTGACTTTGAGATAAGCTCTGGCTGGTCGAGAGGGTTTTGCTGGACTGTGTTCGGTCAGTGAGATATCAATCTGTTTCTAGAGGCAAAGCACAGTACTCTTTTGAGACCTTCCCGTCTTTGTACGCCGCCCACTCTACTTTGCCGTTACCGACTTTCCAGTCATCGCCCAGAGTGGCCCAGAATTCAGTCTCGGTTAGTCCAGGAGGCAAGCGGCGGACGATCAGTCTAAGTCTTGGTGCTGGCGTTCTAGGTGATGATTTAGATGCGGACTGAGCAGTTGCATTCTTCCTGGTCGCAGCGTTCACAGGCAGGACACCTGCTGCTGCGCGACTCTTAGAGTGACCAGACATTTGTTGTAGGATTTTGAGTCGAAAGTGAAAAAACAATGAGAGAACCTTGTCTGTTTGTATGAGACCGCGAATGAGTCACCGTAGGCCCGCTATTCATCGAGAGACAATAGCAGCATATCATTCATGTGACCGCCAGTGAATGAACAACATGGTCAATAGTGAATACAGAATGATGGGAGGGGCGTTCGCTTTCCCATAAATATCGGCCCTCCCACCCTTCTCGGAACGGATTTACTTTTTGCCGATTTTAGACGCTCACGTGCCGCGATGTCTACCGCGGCGACCCCGTCGCCAACAACTCCCTCCTCCCACTCCACCACCACAGGCCGCAATTTGGACGCCGCCATAGAGACGGCGGTCGTTCCAGAAGCATTCCCCGTCTTCGAAGAAGACTCTCTTGAGGGTTCGCCCTCTTCACCGCCTTGTCCCTCCCCCTCCCCCTCCATCCGCCGCCGTTCTCGCCAAGTCAACGAGAACGACCGCCGCGCCTTCTTCGGCTTGCCCAAGCCGAAGGTATTTAACTACGTCGACCTCGTCAAGGCCCTGCGAATTCCCCCTGCCCCCGGCTATCTGCCAAAAGCCCCAACCAGCCAGTTGGGCACTGATTCTACGTACGAACGGGCAGATCCAAGCCAGCTCACCTCTCTCTCACCGGCGCCATGGGCGCAATTAAAGTCCCAGTCCCAGGGCCAGCACGCCTCAAGCGATCAGCAGGACCCGACGAGTGGCTCGAAGCAGCAAAAAATTGCAAGTACCTCTCAGAATACCACATGAAGCAGCTCTGCGAGATTGTCAAAGAGTTCATGATGGAAGGTTTGTCATCCAGTGCCACAGTCTTCTGAGCTGCAATTGACCGTATTACCAGAATCAAACATCCAACCCGTTTCTACCCCTGTCACGATCTGCGGCGATATCCATGGTCAATTCTATGACTTACTCGAACTTTTCCGAGTCGCAGGGGGCATGCCTAATGAATCGGCGCCCGAAACACCTGTTACGCCCGCAAATATCATCACTTCCGCAGACATTGAACCGCCTTCTACCATCACAGACCCGAAACTCAAGAAGAAACTGAAACTGGGAGGATCCGAACACCCTGATACGCCAAGCGAAAAGAGCAGTGAGATCAGCGACGCTGAAGAGATACCCTCATCACAACAATCCGAGATTGAGGACGAGAGATCAGAATCTGGAAACATCATCTCACGCAAACAAAACGCAAATTTCATCTTTCTTGGAGACTACGTTGATCGTGGATACTTCTCCCTTGAAACACTCACACTTTTACTTTGCCTCAAAGCGAAATACCCCGATAAAATCACCCTGGTCAGAGGAAATCACGAATCGCGCCAGATTACCCAAGTGTACGGCTTCTATGAGGAGTGCGTGCAGAAATATGGAAACACTTCAGTATGGAAAGCCTGTTGCCAAGTCTTCGATTTCATGACACTAGGAGCCATAGTAGATGGCAAAGTTCTGTGTGTACACGGTGGCCTCTCCCCAGAAATCAGGACTCTCGATCAAGTCCGAGTTGTCGCACGAGCACAGGAAATTCCGCACGAAGGCGCGTTCTGTGACCTTGTATGGTCAGACCCCGAAGATGTTGAAACATGGGCAGTATCACCTCGAGGAGCCGGATGGCTGTTTGGAGATCGAGTTAGCCAGGAATTCTGCCACGTCAACGGACTCAACCTCATTGCAAGAGCACATCAACTCGTCAACGAAGGCTACAAATATCACTTCAAGAGTCAGGACGTGGTGACAGTATGGAGCGCCCCAAATTACTGCTACAGATGTGGAAACCTGGCATCAGTATGCGACATTGGCGAAGACATGAAGCCAACCTTTAAGCTTTTCAGCGCTGTCAAGGATGAGCTACGACACGTTCCACCATCAAGAGGTGGACGGAATGAATATTTCCTTTGAGGTTGATGACGATAGGACAGTTGGCCAGGTAGTGCCAGGAAGGATGGGATGAGCTTGGAACGGGTGAATGGTGATTGCTTGGGGCTCTGGTGCCAGATTTCATGAATTCCAGCATAGCGAGGGCGTGAAGGAGGGCTCATGCGTGCATGTAACAAATATCCAGAGAGCTGGTTATAGAGCTGGCTTAGAAATGATGATGCTGTATCTCAGTGCTTCTTGTTCTCACACCAATCGGACTCCTGCCGATTGACTCGGACGAAGCGCGGCAGCCTTGTCCGAGGGCTGCTCTAGTTGTCAAGGTTGTCTACTCCAAAATTGGAGATGCGCATGTCGCAAACTCCGATCTCGCAAGTCAATAGTACATAATCTCGCGCACCCGGCCTTCCTAACATATACAGAAAACCATGCAACGGACATGCGAAGGTCAGCTATCTGCCTCTTCCGGCAATCCCTGAAATGTGGCCAGATCAATCTCATTCAGATCCAGAATGGGACTTTCTACAAAGAACATCCATCGGTCGATCGTCATGACTCATCCTCAAACCCACCTCTGTTCCCGAACCTGACATTCGAGCTGCCTGCGACGGTCCAAGACAAAGCTCGCCCTGTTGAGAGGACAAACGAGCATTGGGCCGTCATCAGTGCATCGGACGGCGCAACATTTCTCGAGATACTACGGGGTTCACACATCTGTTTGCCGCCTAACGCGAGGTCGTACCCTTACTTGGCCTCTGCCTACATCGATGACCAGAAGGACCACCGACTTCGTGTCCCTTCACGCGCGATTCAGTATGTGGGCTTCAACAGCGCAAAAGGACAAGTGGCTGGGGGATCAGGAGGGGTAAGAGGCGCATACCTCAGTGCTCGCTATGAGAGTCGACGGGAGGAAACAGATTGGACCGTCCTGCAATATCTCAAGGGCGACACAGAGCTCAATCCTGGACAAAAAGCCCCAGATGGTGGCGTTGACAGCCATCTCCTTGACAAAGTCATCTCGGATCTTCGTTTGGGGAAGTTGACAAACATGCCAGTGAGCAACCTCAGCAATGGACAAACAAGACGCGCGAGGATTGCCAAGGCATTACTGGGGAGACCACTCCTTCTCCTGCTCGATGAACCGTTCATGGGCCTTGATCCTCCTACGTTGGTGACCCTGTCACCTATGTTGAAGAGGCTGGCATATCAGTCGACACCGCTTTTGATGCTCGGGCTACGTCCTCAGGACCCAATCCCGGATTGGATAACCCATCTGGTCGTGCTTGGCCATAACCATACCGTGGCATTGATGGGTGAAAAAACCAAAGTGCTGTGGGACATACGTAGGTGGGTGAATCTGGTCTCTGCAACGGATGTTTCAGCTGCGGACCAAAAGGTTGTCGATCGAATCACGAGGGACTATGGCCTTCCGTTGACTGGCGTCACCGGCGATGTGTTGAGCGAGACAGGTATATCAAGACATCCAGAAATGCTTGAGGATCCCAGCCCTGCTCTGGACGCCCAAAAGGAAACTGGACGTTCTCTCGAGCGCGATATGGAGACAGAGAAACATGGCCGACAAAGTCTCAGCAAGTTACTCCAACGTGCCATTGCCGCAGCTCCCACCCCGTCCTCTACACCTACCCCGGAACCCAGTGGATCGTCTCACCAGTCAGGAGAGTCCTCGTCATCTTTGGGGGGCGACAGGGACAGACAACTGGGTGACCCTCTGATCGAACTCACTTCTATCGTTGTCCAGTACGGCTCTAAAACCGTTCTCGGCCATCCTCCCCCACAGCCAGGTCACAGCACTCCGGGTTTGAACATGACAATCTACGCCGGCACACGTCTCGCGCTCCTCGGCCCCAACGGCTCCGGGAAAACCACGCTCCTCTCACTCCTGACTTCGGACCACCCGCAGTCCTACTCCCTGCCGATAAAGTTCTTTGGGCGCACAAGATTACCTGATCCGGAGCGGGGGGTTTCCGGGTTGAGTCTGTGGGAGATCCAGAGTCGTATAGGACATTCATCTCCGGAGATTCATCAGTTCTTTCCCAAGCACCTCACCGTGAGGAGAGTGCTGGAGAGTGCATGGGCAGAGACGTACGCAGGAAAGCCGGATCTCACCGCGGAACGAAACGCCTTGGTGGAACGTTTCCTCAGGTGGTGGGAGCCTGAACTCCGACAAGACGCGGTTGATGGTGATGCTTCCGGGTTTAGTAGTGGTTCAGATCTCAGCTGGGCGACCGACAAACAAGTCCACGCGTTCGGCCAGCTGCCATTCTCTGCCCAAAGGCTTCTCCTCCTTCTTCGTGCTCTCATCAAGCAGCCCGATATAGTCATCTTGGACGAAGCCTTCTCAGGTCTATCTGCAGACACGAGGGACAAGGCCATGTCGTGGCTCGAGTTTGGCGAGGACAAGGCACCACCGACACCGAAGAGCGCAATCTCTCCTCGACAACCCCAGGCTGGTGGTGGTAACGTTGCAGATTCTCCAGCTCAGGCGTCGCAGAATGTCCGGTTCCCAGGTCTCACGCCCGACCAGGCCCTCGTCGTGGTCAGCCACGTCAAGGAAGAGATCCCCGACTGTGTCGACGAGTGGCTCCGGCTTCCAGGCGAGGAGGAGGTCTTGGAGAGCGGCCGGGGCGTCGAAGGCGGTCGCACGCCCGAGCGAGCCTGGGTCAAGTCCCAGGAGGGGTGGATGAAGGTCTGGGGGTTGTAAGGAGGTATCTACGAATAGTGCCTGGTACCTGGGTGTCTAGTATCTAGTTGGGATACCTTGTCCCCTACGTACCGCTGTAAAGAGTACTCGTGATCTATATACGACATATATACATATCCATTCTCATATACATGTACATACATAGACAAAGAAACAGGCGAAAAATATCCCCTACCTTTTCATCTGCCTCATGAGAGTGAGTACGCTGGACCTCATGAACCTCGCATTTCTGTATCTCGGGGATGCGGCCTTAGCTTCCTCGCCATCGTTTTCTCTCAAAAGTCTACAAAACCATGCCCTCTCGCCCTTGTGGGAATGTTTTCAGTAGGCGCACACGCTTTTACGGTATGTCACGTATTCTTGTTGGTCCTTGCTGCCCCCAAACACACAGACACACGCACACACACATACTATCGAATCGGTCACTAATCACCAGTGTCGACGTCGGTCAACTACCAGTCTTGCTGCAGCCTCGGGCACGCTCGCTGATGGGTGGCTGGGTGGGCTGGTGTCACGACGAAACCGAAAGATCATGTATGCTGTGTCAAAAAGGGGGTTCCATTTTCTGTTTCTGTTTCCAGAGGTACAGGCAACTTGACCTGCGTTCCCTCGTCTGTCACCTGTCGTCAGTCGCCAAACGGCCGACACACCTTGTATTATATATATATAAGTAGCTACAAGATTTTCAAGAACTGTGGATACACAATTTGCAATGGGCGTCGATGAATATACCTCAAGAGTCGTCACGGGTCGTTGATACATGGCCAAACAAGAACAACTTTTTCTTGAAATCCATCATCCTAGGTCGCTTGCGAACACAAAACAAAAGGTATCGCTGGGAAGAAGAAAGTCAGTCAAGGAGATAAAAAAACATCCTCCTGAGCTATACCCAAAGCCCATCCATCCATCCATCTGTCCGTCCGTCCGTCCATGATCTGGCGAATTATTCTTGACATACGGAAAACCTGGCGCGTTTATTCATCCGTGTCCATCCCCGGTCAATCTCGTATGCTACTCGATCGATCCGGAATCATGTGAAAGGGAATACTGTATGCCGAGCTGTTGCTTGCCTGGCTTCGTTGGCTGGCCTGCCGGCGCAAGATGCGTTCTTTCATTCCAGTCACACTGCCGGGGAGCTGTTGCTGAGGCGTGTGCTGCTGGGTCGGCGTCGGTGTCTGTTGCCTGTCCGTATCTTCAGTCATGGGAGGCCGAATAATCGATTGACGCGGAGAAGAGACAGGTATTGGAAAGTTCGATAAAGAAACCTCGCCTGGACTTGGTGGCTGATATTGTAGATTGTGGTGGATAGGATGTCCATTGAGGCGAAGAGGTGGTGGCAAGTGTAGAAGATGCTTTGGACTCTCTAGGTCATTGATGATGGACGGACCAGGTCCATTCAGATCAGCCTCCGCTCTCTGCTTCTCCTTTGCTTTCCCCCCACCCACGTCGGTTTGGACGGTGTTACGGGTTGATTTCTTTCTCCGAGCTTTTCCACCTTCCCTTTCGTGCGACACCGTCGTCCATTGATGATGAGAAGTTGGGCTTCTACCGTCCTCAAGCCGTCTGTCAGCCTCGCCCATCGCATCTGTCGGGGTGGGTGAGTGTCTGACCTGTGAAAAGATAGATGACGGCGCGGCTGGTTTCCCGTCGCTAAAGGAATAGGCATGTTTCGAAGAGCCATGTCTGGTTGAGGGCGAATCTGGCACAGGAGTTGACTGGGTGAGGAAATTCTCGTTCAAACTATGCTGGAGCCGAATAAGAGCTGCACGAGCCTCAGCTTGCTTTTGGGCATATTCTCTCTCGTCAAATGTCGACTGGTACCCCAGGGCAGAGCGAAGTCGCTCCTTGGCAGGGTCACTGTCAATATACAGGTTACTGCTCCCCGGCCACGTCTCAGTCATAAGCTCTGTTGGCGGCATGGCGAGGCCGTTGCTCTTGACTTCTACTTCTTCAGGGACACTTGTCAGCATTGATCTGCCAGGAGTGTTTGCAAATTCCCTAGTGCTCACACTGGGAGGACGAACCGGATCACCCATTCCAGTCGAGTTTAGACTTTCTGGGGTCTTGTGAATGTATGCACGAGGTGATGGTAAGGGTTCGAGATCGTGGTCAGGCTCGAATGACGCAGTCGCCGACGGCTCTTGTACCAAATGTTCGACGGCCTTCCCGATCTCGCTCACATCAAGATTTCTGTTCCCGTCCCCTTTGTTCGATCTCGAGGTCTGTCTCTCAGCCTCTTTAACGTAGTGTCTTGAACGGTGATCGGGCTTCCGCTTGTTTTGCTGTGCTGGCTGCTTTGAGTGCGGAGCAACTCTGTTCTCGTTCTGTTTATTTTGCACTTCAATCGGCTCAGGGCTCACTTGAGTTTGACCTGTCTGGTCAGAAGTGATTGGCGGTTCTAAAACAACACTTGCGCGAGGTGATGCAGATACAATAGTGGTGATGGGCGAAAAGCCGATGGCAAAATGAGAACGAGGAGGATATTCTGACCTGGGCAATTCTGAACGCGGCTCTGACTGCGGTGGTCGAGATTGTGGACTATCAATCACCACTGCCTGTTCTATCTCAATAGGCGAATGGTTTGTTGTTTCGGTCGTAGTGGTGTCCGTTCTCCCATCTTCGGTGGACGGACCAGATACAGTGGCTCCCTGTACTTTCCGTGTCGTATCGACTTTCGCATGTTCTAGAACAGGAGAAGAGCTGTAATTTGATGGAGGAGTGTCCTCGGAGAAAACCTCTGGATCATTTACGGTCAAATCCATGATTTTTCGATTGGGGAGATTAATCGCTCGCTTCACAGAAGACGCGTTGCTTAAGTTTGAGGGTGAGCGTACTGAATGACTGTAGCTTGGGGATTCCGTTGAGCGGTCTGGGAATGTGACAACCCCTTGCTGGTGCGGTTGGAATGGTTCATTGGACTTCACTTGTGTCACTTCCGAGGCTGAAAGCTGGTAGTTGCTGAGAGCACCACTTGGGAAGATAGGCGAAGGAAATTCCCCGGAGCCCCTGCTTTGATGGCTGGTCGGAACCGTGTGTGGGCTGTGGGCCAGCATAGGGTCGCGAGAACTGCTTGCTAGTGTTGTCGTTGGGCTTGTCATAGTTTGCGTCTGACGGGGATCTTCGATACTGTGTCTCGAGGCTGGTAATTCGTGCAGCAGTCCTTGAGAGTCCCAAGATCGGTCACTTTGATGTCGAGAATGTGATCCAATCGAACTATGGACATTGTGGTTGTGCCTCGAGAAAGGTCGCTCCACAGACTTTTGAGGCGAATGCGAATAACTGTTCAGTGGGCTGTTTATTCCTTTCAACGGAATAGTCGATTGGCTGCCGTTAAACCCATTTTGAGGGGCAGAAGGAGAGCTGTGGATACTACCGCTCCCAGGGAGACTCGGATAGGCATTCCTGGCGGCGACTTCTTCTTGAAATTTCGACGAAGATACGTACTGATGGGTGCCTTCGAGAGCGACTCGAGCCAAATCTAGATTCCGTTCGGCCACATCTTCATTGTAGCCAGGCTTCGACTTTGGGCTACTCGGGTTGGAGAGGGAGAAGATGTCGACGTAGCGAGGGGTTTTAGGTCGTACCTGGTCTTTGGGATATCTATCTGCATGTTGCGGGTATTCCTGGTCTGATTTGACAACGGCGTCAGCTGCCAGGTTGACGGCATTCATGAGGCTGCCGCTTCCATCCGTGCCTGGGCGTGACCAAGAAGTCGAGGGCCTTGCGACGGCTCCAGCCAACGCTGGCTGGACCCTATTGCTTCCATTCTGCTTGTATTGTGCGTCGGTCGAGGCATTCCGGGCGTGGTTCGCGCGGGAGGTTGTAGTGAGTGACCGGAGGGCATGGTCAGTGCTCTGGCTCTTCCTCAAGCTCCCAACTCCCGTGTCTTGTCTCCCGTCATTCCCTTTGCTCTTCCGCCGGGTCCATAACTTTTTCAAACCGCTTTCCATATTGGTATCATAGAATCATTCCGGCAGCCGCAGCAGCAGATTTGTCTCCCACTCATGTATGTCTCACGGATAGATGCCGTGCGTTCTCCACCACGCATATCAGATATGAATGTAATGAGGACGACTACCGAGCCTGGAACCAAATAATGGAAGCAGACTTTCGGTAAGGTGCAGGATTGGGAGGTAAAGATCGACGTGTGCGTAGACCAATGTCCGAATTGTCGGGCAGAGGCAAGGATAGCAGCTGGTGTCCGCATGCACTTAGGGACCAGATTCTCGCGGGCAGGTTGATCTCATCTTTTCATGACTCCTCACATTGCCGGGTGCAAATCAAGTCAAGAGTAGTGGGTGGCTCGAACTAGACGGGATAATGCTCCCAAAGTGCTTTTGATCGCACCTTGACCGAGGCTGTAGGAGAACACGAATGTGTACCGGGGTACAAAGTTTATAATGCCATCGAAGGCAGAATGGCACTTAAATCGCAATGGATGTCATCGAAGGGTTCCGATGAGCAGACAAGTTACAGGATAGCAATGGGGGGGTTGGCAGCATGCACAAACCGGGACGATGGAGCTGCCAGGCGAGTAATAGCATTTCGCTGCTCCTATTAGGTGCCTATCCCCACTCGCAGTCGACGCCGTTGAAGCTCTGATCTGGCGGATGGCTTTTACCCATCCATGCTCTAAAGGTCGTTGGGTGGAACCGGGCGCCTGTTTTTGGCCTCTCGCCTTGGGTGATCAGCCGCCACGCAATGTCCCGTTTCTTCGCCGGGCTGCGAGGGGAGCTGCAGTGGCTGGAATTTCCCTTGACTAGAAACGAAGCGAACCACCAGATCGACGCCTACGAACGCTGCCATTCTTTTCACTTTCTTGAGGCCCCCAATTGTGTCCAAACGTCTGCCTTTTCCGTCATCATCCCTCTCGAATCGGCCTATCCAGGCGTATCAGTACCACCTCGGGCGCTACCAGATCAAGGTTGACAGGTGGGACACTTCGCGATACCGTAGGCTCTGGCCAAGAGGAGGGGGAAATAGCTGATAGGGTCGTTTTCCTGGGGAATCGAGTGAAGTCGGCGAAACCTTCTTATCGAGAAAGTGTCCGGAGGAGCGGTTCCAGTCAATGCACTTTTACCCACTCAAGAGCGCTGCCAGCCAACAAGAGGTACATTAGACGTCGGGGGACACCTTTGAAGTGTCCGAGCGCAGCCGGGGGCCCCTGTCGTGCCTGCAAAAGCTGGTCCCTGGGGCATGGGATTTCGTTGACTTGGCCCAACCACTCAGTTACCTGACCGCCTCGTTGGATTTTGTGGATATCGCCAGTCACAGACCAGCCCAGCAACATTCCTACGTGTACTCGGGACCTAGCGTCATACCTTGTACTTACAGAGAGCCTTGCTGGTCAGAGAGTAGGTAAGTTGGGGGCTCGTCTTCTGCGACACCACTAACTGTTGATAGGTTGCCATGGACGGAGGGTCCAATCTACCAACGGAGCCCATTGGCAGGGGTTCTTGCGAAAATAATAGTGCGCGAGAAATTGAGTGATTGTCTTTCAGGTCTCAGATACCCATGCACGCTATTTAGAAAACACGGGGAAGTCATTGCTCGATCAAGCTTGTTCTCGAGCCCCCAAGGCGAAACTGCACCAGGCACACCCTGTGGCCATCTTGCTTTTGATCGAGTACCGGGTACGAGTGACAGCCAAGCAGCAAGACGACGGCGCCTCGGCACGTCTCGATGAATTTATTCCTGTTAGTCTCCGGACATGGAGTTCCCAACTGGCCTCTCGACGACCGTCGCGCTTCCTTTTCCTTCAAGTACTGGAGTACTCAGTCGCGAGCACCAAATGCCTTGTCATAATCCGTCAAGGTGAATCGATATCGCATCTTATTTGCCGCAACGCGAGACACCGCCTCTGCACATCCTTTCTCTGAAATGGGCAGGGTCTCAACCATGGGGAAGAGCTGCTTCTCGGCGGCTAATTTCAACATGGCCAGGGCCTCAGGTCTGTTACCGATATGGCTTGCGCCAATGGAGCTGCCGTTGCTCATAAACATCTGGGCTTTCAGTGGCGGAAGGGCTTCGTCCGGCAGACCGACTTGATGGAATGTGGCATTGACCTTGCACAGCGACAAATACTCTTGCAAATCAAAAGTGTGGGTCATGTCGGCGGTATTGATCACAAAGTCAAAGGTAAAGGCGTATTTGTCTGCCCACCCCTTTTCGGTATTTGTCACAAACTCCTTTGCGCCCAGCTTGAGCGCATCTTCCTTTTTATTTGGGGAATGCGAGATGACTGTGACCTCTGCGCCCAGAGCATTCGCCCACATGACTGCGAAATGGCCCAAGCCGCCCAAGCCCACAACTGCCACCTTCTTACCCGGACCGACCCCCGCCCGTACGAGTGGACTCCACGTGGTCAATCCCGCACACAGCATGGGAGCGGCCAGATGTGAGGGTATAGCATCGGGAATGGGGAAGACGAAGTATTCGTGGGCGCGAATGTGCGAGGAGTAACCTCCCTGGGATATGGTCTCGTCCGGGTCGACCTCTTTTGGGTAAGGAGCACCATATGTGTCGACCAGGTGTGGGCAATAGTTCTCGTTGTCACTCTTGCACTGAGGGCATTTGAGGCAAGCCCAGATCTGAGCACCGACACCCACACGGTCGCCGACCTTGACTGTCTTTACGGCGTCTCCGACTTTGACTGCGTGCCCAACGACCTCATGGCCCACACAAATAGGCAGCGGAGCTTCACCCCATCCACCATTAATGGTGTGTACGTCCGAACCGCAGACACCACAGCACTCGATCTTGATATCAATGTCGTGGTCGCCAAACTTCTTGGGTTTGAACTGCGGTGCGGGTTAAAGAGGTTCCTGTCGGGGGTTCAAGGGGAAAATCTACCTCTTGTTTCTTGAATTCAGTCCATTTCTTCTGGTCCTCGATCATGAACCCTTCAAAGGTATCGGGGTAGCCCATGGTCGTGGCGTGGCTTGGTACGTCTTGCCGTTGGTAGGTCAATTTGAGGAGGGAAGGCGTTCACAAGTATTCAAAAAGGGTGGGCTGGAAGAAGAAAAAGATCTTTTTTTTTTTCTCTCGCCTCCGGGTTTTATTTTATTTTTATTTTTGAGTGGAAAAGAGAGAAAAAAACGGATTGAATTTATCCAGACGCAAAACACGCAACGCGCGCGGGGCAGAGTCCCAGTTGTCATTGGGAGTTTGACCGATGACATGACATGGGGTTGGGGGGAGTCGGTAAATAGGCTATGAATGATGCAAATCAATCATTCCACACACAAATCGTGACGTTATCGACAACGGACGGGGACAATCCAGCCCTCGACACCTATTAGATACCTACCTACTCTGTACCTACCTTAGGTATTGGATACCTACCCACCCCACAGCCGGAGTATACTGCCGCCATCGCCATCGCCGCCACCCTCGCCGTAGCCTTGGCCATCTGAGGATTCCAGAAGAGGATAGAGAGTTTTCCAACAAGTCCAAAAGCCACACGGGAGATGCGGAAGTGCTCCGGCGAATCATGCCCTCATTGGGCTGGTCCTGGTGCTGCGTCCAACTCGTCCAACCGGCCATCCTACCGAAGTTGACCGATTGATACCCCTCCTCTACACGTCTAGCCCATGTGCGAGGTACGCCTGCAGGCTCTCCTTCCTTGAGCGGACAGTGGCCTTTCAAGGCGCCTTGCTGCTGTCCGCTGGACAAGCATTTTCGGTATGTTGATACCCCGAACGTCTCGTCTCGGCCTCGTACTATATCGAGGGAGAGGAAACCATGCCCCCCCTCACTATCCCCCACGCCCCCAACCGGAACCCCAACAAAGAGACAGGAAAACAGCGATAGTGTACCACTCAACTAACAGCTACGAGGTACAAGTCAAGAATACTCGGTCAAAATCCTGTGATTATCACCATATGTTCCCATGTCTAAGAAGTAGTCGGACGATATCGTTATCTCAAGTATCTTTACAGTATTGTTACAGCTTCTAATCCGTTATATCCCACAGATCCGACAGCAATCACTACTCATCGTCGTCCTCGTCGCCGTCCACATAATTCACAGCCTTCTTCTTAGCCCTCCTACCGCTCAGAGTCCGCGTTGGTGCTCGCCGATTGACTTTGACAACTGCACTGACCTCCTCCGCGTCAGTAAAATCCGGCATCTCGAGGTCTGACTCCTTTTTCTGCTCGAGAGCCGAGTCTTGGTCGCTCGTACTCGGCGTCAACACCGTCTTATTTGTGCCCTTCTTATTCTTCATGCCAGTCCCCGAGCGAGGTGCCCGAACCGGCTTCTGCTTCTTCGTCTTCGCCACATCATACACACTCTGTGTTTTGGCAGCATTGGGCGTCGCCCTCGGAGTCGCATCCAAGCCGGCCAGCTCAGAAACAGTCGACTTGGCCGTGGACGCTGGCGTCTCTCCTTCTGCGGATGCTTCCCTCGCTGCCTGCCACGCAGCCTTTTCGGCCCGTCTCAGTGCCGCCCTCTCGGCTGTTGTCTTTGCTTTTGCTGGGTCTCGAGGCTTGACTTCTCGTTTCTTCGGTCGCAACCATTCCTCCATGCCTTGTGGCCAGTAGACGCGTCCTTCGGGACCACCCATACTGATCTCGGAATCTGGCACCAGAGGTGGCGGCTGTGCTTCCTCATCTGCATCGTCATCGTCGACGTCATTGGCGATCGGTTCTCCCTCATCTCCTTTGGACTGGCGCTTCTTTCTGGGAGTTTTCTTCTTCTTCGGAGGCTTCCATGGCCTATTTTCGTCGTTCCGCACGTAGGGGGTGATATCATTGAAAGTGTCAAACCCGGGCAACTTGAATACGCGCATCAATTCAAAGACAGCCTGTTCTTTGTCCTTGGCCTCGATCATCAAATCCATGTCCGGCGCACAGGGTGGTAGTGTTGCAGGGCGCGGATTATGTTTCCGCCGCTGTCGTGCAGTAATAGCCGATGGCACAGGTTCTGAATAGTGCATTTTCTGCGTGATGCCCTTTCTTGTCCACGTAGCTTTGATCCTGTTATAAAGGCTCATGATGTCAAGGGTACCTTCGCGAACTTTGTCTGCATCAAATACAATGTTGTGATGGTGGAAATCCAGAACAAGCGGAATATTGAGCTCCTCGCACACAGGCAGCAAATCATGCACACTGTAGCTAACATCATCATTCTCAAGAACTAGGCGGTCTTTGATCCCTTGTGGCAACTTAACATAGTTCTCCTTGAATCGAGCAATAGTGGCAGCCTTGTCGCCAAAGACTCCACCCATGTGCAGGATCATCACAGCGTCACGATTCAGCTGGCGCGGGAGCCTCAGAAGGTCCAGCATCTCGCAGTGGTAGTCTAGATCGCGTAGGGACGCTCGGATAACCTCTTTTCGCGGTGAGCCCAGCTGTGTGAACTGGCCCGGATGGGTCGTCAGCCGGTGACCGAGTTCAGCAGCCACGCGACCCGCTTCTGCAAGCACCTCTGAGGCGAATGGGCTAAGCTTGTACCCGTATATATCATGGCTGGCAAAGGGAAACATTTCAGACGACAACCGAAGGAACTTGATACCGTAGCGATCGTTCCAACGCAACATCTTGACAATGTCCCGTGCATTGGCGAGACCCAACGCTTCCACATATTCTTGCCCCAGCGCTATGTCCGCTGGTTGATCCTTGTCAGGACGATTTTTGGTGGGATGTTCTGGCAGCTTGGGGTCTTTCAGTGGATGGCGGTGCTCGAGTATCGAAGCGATACGACACGTGCGTGACGAGAATACTGGTGGATTTGCATTACGGAGATAGGTGTTCAGACAAGCATAACCCAGCCGGCCCTTCCAGGGTAATGGGAGGTATGAGCTGTTGACCGGGGGTGGCCGGGACAAGGCTTCCTTCAGCTCTTCGGGGTTAGCTTCCTCATCCCCTTCAGCTTCGGGATCATCTCTTTCTAGCCCATCCCCTCTCTTGACGGGAGCTGTCGGAGGGGCGACTGGTCTAGCATGTGCCGCAACAGGTTTGTCCACAGCTTCGACCTTGATCTTTCCCTTCCTACTTTTCGCAGTGTCAACTTCAGGCTGTTCTGCATCTGGCGAAGCACGTAAGGCATTCGGGCCATCCTCGATCATATCATTCGTGTCTGGATTAGTGTCGATCGCGACAGGGGCGGTGGCAGAGGCTCTCCGGGAACTAGTCCGTCGATTTGATGCAGAAGCGGGTGTGGTAGAAGTCACCAAGGTGGTGTTAGCTGCCCTCTTTCGTTTAGGCATCGCATACAGTGGTGAGGGCGAAGATCCTAGATGTAAACCATAGAGGGCGTGAGATCTAACTGTTGGGGGAATATAGTCTCTGCGATTCCCTTCCCAGCGTAAACACAGACGATTGAACAAATTGAACATGCGATGAATGTCTAGAGACTCTAAGCTTGACTCTAGGAGAGAAAAAAACCTACAATACATAATGTCCCTTGTATGGTGCAGTGGTGAATCGAGTACGAGGGACTGGCCAGCCAATTCTCTAATCACGACGTCATGACTTTTTGTGTCGTGTCTCAATGCGCACCTGCGCTTCTCACACGCGACTTTTCGAGATCGATTCACGCCTGCGGTGTTTTTCGATCTGGGAAAGGCACAACTCCGCACTTTCACCATCACCCGCCAATAATCAATCGTGAGCGCCTCATCTGCTAAGTGGCACACAGCGAGGCTTACTCCTTGCACCCATCGATCCATCGAGCCAACTGAGGGGTCTCGCCCACTGCAGGGATCAATAAACGGACAAGCTTAGGTGGAACAGCTGGTGACCACCTTCGCTACTCAGCGAACTTCTCCATCCCAGTGGCAAATGGCTGCTCTGATTTGTCCTACAAGAAAACAGTCTCAATGCTCCTCCGCCACCAAACCACGAACCTGCATCCGCCCAAAGGTCAAAACCGAGACCTCCTCCTCTTCCTCTAGGAATGGGCAGAACATCTTTAATTGTGGCGCAGAGTCAGTTGTGATTAATGTCTTCCTTCCGTCATTTGGATTCATCGACCGGTGCCGACTCTTTCACCTGTGAAGGTCGTCCAAGAGGTGCTTGACTGATCGACTAATCGCTTATCGTTCTTGTTCGCCTTGGAAGATACGACTCCGCATTTCTTACCGCTGGGATCCCGGCTCAATTCACCATACACATCTACACAATGCCAGGGTTTACCAGTTTTCGGAGAAAGCTTTCACGAACCAAGTCTGTGCCTGGGCCTGTCGAAATCGCGGAAGAGAGTCGAGATCGATTGCAGCCATGGCCAAGTAAAGCGTTGTCCTTGACACCTTCCGACGAGCAGCTCGTCGCCAAACTGGCATTTACTCCCGAGACCGCCATCATCGAACGAGCGCCTCGTCGACAGACTCCGTCGGTGGGGACTAGGTGGTCCGAGCGGACAGTGTTTAACAATGTCGAGTCCGGCTTCCTCTCACTACCAACAGAGCTTTTGATGTTTCTCCAACCATACTTGAGCCCAAGTAGTGAGGTCTCCCTCCGTCATACTTGCTCGAGGTTCTTCCATCTTTATAGCACGCCATCCTTTGTCTTGACGGGGAAAGAGCTTTTCGATTTCCTCTGTATGACTGAACGGGATCAGGATCCCACCGAACTAGACAAGCTAGTGTGCAGCAGGTGTCAGATGCTTCATCTCCGGTCCACCTTCCCTACGGCAGAGATCAAACAGGAATCAACCTTGCGAGACTGTAGACAGGTCTGGCTGTGCCCACATCGTCACCTTGGTTACCAGAGGACGATTCGCAACATCAAGGCCGGGGTGGAATCACCATTTCGAGTTGAAACACTGGAGCCCTGTTCGAGGTGCAGAAACTCTATTCGCAACAGGTCTGTTGCCGACCGCCCCGAGAAAGGCACCTCTGCGATGGATCTGGAGAATCCGAAAGCCGAGTCTCTGTTGATCTCCAAGATTGCCCTCCTTCAAGCACCATCACCATTGTATAATGCAAGAACAAGCGGAGGTAGTGGTATGTACAAAGAAGTGTTCCAGGTCAAGGATGTTTCCAGCGCTCTGTCAGGGATTGATTTCCGCCTCTGCGCCCATATGAAGCTCGGAGATCCTTACATCCTCAGCAAGTTCTGCAGAGCATGCATCAATACGCAACGACTCCCACCAGGGGTGAAAGGCCCACCTTGTATCAATGAGTCGAAGCGAGAGTTTGGAGCCGGCCGGACTCGCGCGAAGTGCAAAGGCACCTGCTTTACTCGAGGCTGTAAAACACAATTCATGTTTCAGGCTCGCGAAAGTCTGTCACCTGACGCTTCTGGGAGGCGACAAGTCTGGCTCATTGTTGTCGTTTATCGCTGGCTAGGTCCGCTCTTGAGTGCAGGACGGGATGGCACCTGGACTGACCACACCATCGACCATCAAGAACGGAAGGAGATGCGCGTGAAATGGGCCGAGTGGGAAAAGGTAAATCGATCTGGAAGACAATGCATGCCGAATTGGAGCATCTGCCTTCTACATCCGGAAGATTCGAATTTGCGCTGAGATGAGATGTTTGGAATACACAACCATGATTTGTCCGACGCGTCAGGTCGAGACAGCAACCGCGTGGAACCCGTTGCGACGGAGCACTCTGTATGTTGTTCCTGTATTTATCCTTGGTGGCTGACAACAACAATGGAGATCACCTCTTCAGAAGTTGCGATCGAATCCGACATGGACGACTTCGCAAAGCCGGCCTCGTTCATTCTGGAGCCGCCGCATCGACGACCTCGAGAACATGGACAGTCATCTTCAACAGATGAACGCCACTGAGAAGATGCGAGTTGAATTGAAAGATGAAAAATAATGAGCTGGATGCATTGATCGGCAGTGCAATCCACGCGCCACGAATCACACAAGGCTTGTTTCGCCGGACGGGCGATTATTGACAAACAAACTCAGATCGACGTCCCTTCAAGGAAATGGCCCAGATTGGCGCTTAAACCCACAGAAAATCCTAAAATAGAAGTTCGCATGCCCGGATTTCTTGAGTTTGGACGGGACTCGAGCCGATCATCGATTGGCTTTTTGTGGCTGCGATTGGCGACCACGTCGCCTTGCCAACAATTGCGGGGGATATTCGAGATCCTCCTCGACAATATCTACTAGCTTGGAACCTGGAGCTCGGAGTCCATGGCAAAGCCTCCTTTGCCTTTTCATGGACTGGAGGAATGTCATGCTGGGGCGGTGGATCGACAACATTCCTTGTGGTGACTTGCCCGGTGGCGCTTGAGCCTCGTCAATCCCACTTTAGCCCTGCCACGATCCCCAGCTGTATCCAGAGCAGCATGTCATCGAGCGTTGTCCAGCAGACAAGTCGTCGTACGCCATCTCCAAAAATCGAAGCTGGAACAGCGTTCCGTCAAGTGGCGATATGGAGATGTATGTGGACGGGCTGGAAATATACATATACGAAGCATTGTGTCGCTCGCAAACACAAATCCATACATCCCTGAATCAAGCCTGATCGCTTCCTTCACATCTATCACATCCATCACACTCCAATTCCTTTGCCTGACAGCAACACTGCTATACGTGTGCTCAACGTGTCTTACATTCCTACCACTTCGAAACGGGCTCCTCTGCCCTAAATCTTACGGCCTCCTCCCCTCCCTTGTCAATCTTTTGCTTTGCCAGTTGTCGCACTGAGCACGCACCATGTCCCCCTTGCTACACACTTCCCTTGCCCTCTCCCTATTATGGCTGCCTCTCTGCACTCAAGCCCATATGCAGATGAGCTGGCCATACCCCCTACGAAGTCCCCTTGATCCTGACATCAGCCCTGATGAAAAAGACTATAACATGATATCCCCGTTGTTCGCGGACGGTTCTAACTTTCCTTGCAAGAACTACCAGAATACTCCCGATAGCTACGTCACCAAAGCAACTTACCTGGCCGGTGGTACCTACGACATGTGGTTGAATGGGACAGTCCCACACGACGGAGGCTCTTGTCAACTATCTCTATCTTATGACAACGGAGCTACATTCAAAGTCATCAAATCCATGATCGGCGGATGCCCCTTGACACACAACTACGCCTTCACGATTCCGAGCTTTGCGCCCTCTTCCGATTCGGTGCTCTTCTCCTGGTCTTGGTTTAATCTCATCGGAGATCGCGAGATGTACCAAAATTGTGCCCGAGTTGAGATCGTTGGTGGCGCGAGCACACGGCATCGACGAGGCTCGCCGTATCGACGACAAGTTGCTTCAATGGATCGGCTACCCAATATGTTCGTGTGCAACGTGAACAACGGCTGTCAAACCATCGAGCGGCAAGAAGTGGTTTTTCCAGATCCCGGGAGCGATGTTGTCTACGGCCAGGATGCGATCGTTCCGGATCCAGGTCCAGGGTTTACCATCAATGGCGTCGCTGCTTCAACTACTCCTGTTTCCCTGACCACCTCCGTCTCTACGCAACTCGACCTCGTCACGACGACTGGGACATCCAGCAGTTTGGAGGTTCCCACGTTAGCAACAACGTTCACGACTCAGACTACTCGGCCCTCGTCGACTGGAACGACAACCACTGTTGGAACTACAACCGTGGACACCATTACCACATCCATGCTCGTCTCCCCAGGAGCTTTCTTCACGACCGATTCGACCACACTGAGCACCCTCTCAACCACCACCACGCCTTTTACTTCGGGAACAGGAAGCGTCGTGGATAATTTGGCTGAATCTACAACATCTTTTAGCACATTGACGACAACCTCAACCTCCCTTGCCCCCTTTCCCCTGACTAACAGTTCAACTATTACGTCCGCCATTGCCTTGGGCACTGGTGCTGTTTTTGCTAACTCTACAGATCCTGGCGATTCTAATCTGGCCGAGTCCACGACTACTTCGATGACGACTACGACCCCGACGACGCTTACGACACTTACGACTATGACATCGACAACGACGACGACGACGACGACGCTATACGATCTTGCGACATCCTTGACGACTACAGTGACGACTCCCACGACTTCAACGACTACCGAAGCGACAAGCACTATTTCTACGATGACAACAACAGCAAGCATCACACTGTCAACCACTTTTACGACATTGGTACAGGTTGCCTCTACGACCACGACCACGACCACGACCGCTACCACTTCTCCGACCACTCTCCCACTGCCTTGTGTGCCCGGAACATTTACATGCAATAGCCCTTCTAGTTTCTCCCAATGCATCTCCACTGGTGTTGGGACGACGTATACCTATATGGGTGCCGTCGCCGCCGGCATG